CCTATGATTCTATGATTCTATGACAGAAATCTTCCATCTGTCTCTGCAGCAAGTCAGCTGCACACCAGCTTCAGGGAAATAAACATTGACAGGGTGACCCCTGACACCGCAGCCCGCTGAGCCCCAGCACGGGGGCTTGCCTCTTCCAAATTTCTACTGACGCTGTTTTACTTGGCTTAGCTCTAACACCATTTTTTGCCTCTTCTGAGCAGGTGGTTCTGACTAATTTGCTTTATTTTTAAATTGCCATTGCTTCATACAAGCCTAGTACTACGCAGGCTGTACTCTGCAGAATAAGGTGTTTGTCACTAAAATAGTAATGAACTATAAAGAAACGCAGTGTGACTGCAGAGACCTTGAGAAGTGCAGACAAACCATGTTGTGTAGAGCACAGTCAGGGATGAGAAGAGATGGGGCAGAGACTTGGCCCTGGAGACGCCACAGCCACAAACAACCCATCAGTGATCAAACACGGCCTAGAGAACAAGTCTCAAGAGAGCGGCTGAGGCACCTGGGGCTGTTTAGTCTGAAGAAGAGGAGGCTGAGGAGGGACCTTGTTGCTCTCTACAACTCCCTGACAGGAGGCTGTAGAGAGGTAGGAACTGGTCTCTTCTCCCGAGTAACTCATGACAGAACAAGAGGGAATGGCCTCAAGCTGCCCCAGGGGAGGTTCAGGCTGGACATCAGGAAGGACTTGTTCACTGGAAGGGTTGTCAGGCATTGGCCCAGGCTGCCCAGGGAAGTGGCGAAGTCCCCATCCCTGGATGTCTTTTGCAATCAAAGTGATTCCATGACTCATTTGCTATGAAATAAAGAAATACAGACCTCAGGGTGCCACTCATGACAAAGCAGTTTTGTGCAGGGACAAAGTATCCAGTGTATGTAAAAACGCATGGGAGATGTAAGGGGGAGTCACACTGGTTAGAAGGGAGTGTCCTGTGGCATGAACTGACTTGGCTACAGAGCCAGGTTGTGCTGCAGGGGCAGGAGAGCCGAGCAGTGGGTGTGTAACAGCAGCTTGGCGTGACCCAGAACCTTTCACTATTCCATGCCTGCTGCCAGCAAGGACAACCAGGACTTCCTGAGGATCACTGTGCCAAGCAACCCGTATGTCTAGGCCCTCTCATGACACTTCTGCATGAGTGTCAACTCCAGCTGAAGCAGTTAAACACCAGTTAAAGCCAGCCCTTTTATATCACCTCCTGCTGCAGAGCACGCACATGTCCTTTCCGTGCTTCCATCCCACCAGCACAGTGAGCTTGGGAAAGACTCAAGCAGACCACCACCCTTTCCACACATGCTCCCCTGTGAGACACAGAGGTGCAGTAAGAGACCCCAAACACTACGGGAGGTCTCAGCCCAGGAGGCTGCACGTGGGCCCAGCAGGGAGGAACCCTGCACAAGGCAATGCTGGTGTTGTGTGGCTGCTGGCGACAGAGGTCCCCGAACAGGTCCCCAGGCCAAGCCATGCTGCCCCATACATCAAATTCAACCCCCTGCTCTGCTTAGCGGTCAGCTAAGCAAAATGGGTTTTAAATAAATACACACTCTCTCCCCACTTAGCCCCATGATCAACCTGCTGCATGATTAGCTTTGAAATATTGTCTCTTTCCTTTCTTTATGGAAGACAAGATATGGCTGAGGAATGTGACTTATTAGTCCTTTCAGTCCCTAAAGATTAAATGACAGCATTAAAATTCATCTGTTCTCCACAGGGTATCTTAAATACTTGTGAGTAATCAAGAGAAGCACGAATAGACTAAAGAGGAAAACAAAGAATCCTCCTGGATCAGCTGCTCCTTTTCTTAGTCACATTCCCACCAGGTCTTCTACATCAGCATTTTCAAGAAACAGAGAGGAACAGAGTCTTTAATACAGAAGCAGCAATGTGACAGGCAGGAGACTCCACCCCCAGTACCCCCAGAGAAAACATTCAGATTATTTCTGACCTGTTCAAAAAGGAAAAAAAAATAAATTTCCCTAATGCAAGTAAGATAAGAACTTGGGGACCTGGAGCACATGAGAGGACATCAGAGAAGGCTGCAGAGCCCTGGACTGCTGAACACCATCTCCACCAGCAGCACTTGCTGCTGTGCACCAGGCCCTCGTCCACTGCAGACTCACCTACTGAATGGCCAGTGTTGGGCCACCAAGACCCATAACAAGATGCTATTTCAATGTTGCTTCTATCCTAGGAACATATAATTGTAATTTACCACCTTTTACACCTAATGCACTGTATTGCACCAGTCACCCTTGAAACAACTGCATCAGAAGCTCCAGGGGGTCTCCAGTCCAGCTTCCCACAGGACTATCACCCCCAGGTCAAGCCATGGCCTGTTGTTCCAAAACAAGCTGGTGCACAGGCACCCACAGAAATGCTGAGCCAGTCACTGCCAAAGCCAGCACTGTAAGGAAAGTTTTGAAAATAAACCACCTCCAAGACTGTGGGGAAAAATAAAAGGCAGGAAAAAAGAAAGGCTCTTTAGAAACAATGCTGACATTTGGAATCAGTCCATGAAAATAAAATTGCTATCGCTTATCACAGACACTATTATTACTGGTAACACCTTGGATGTGACACAGGCTCTAACTGATAGAAGACTTAAAGTGTGAAATTTTCACAGGAAACTATTCCTATGGCCTACTGCAGTCAAGCCAGTCAGCACCTGGAGGGAAAAAAAATCTCCTCTCCTTTTCAGCTGTTGGGTTTAATTCTACTAAAGAGACTTTTTAAAAACTCCCACTGTAAATTGATACAGAAAAATTCTTGCTGATCCTTTAAAACAAACAAACAAAAAATCCTTCTTTAAACTATCTAGCATCTGAGAGGGGAAAGAAAAAAAAAGCATATTTGGGAACTTCAGGAATCTCCCTTCCTTGACAGAGCTCTGTCAGAAGAGTGCAGTCTTAGACATACTCAGCCTCAGGAGGCCTCCACAGTATAGAGCAGCTGATGTGGACCTATACTACTGTACCTTGTTTTGAAACTGCTCTGGAACAGGTTAAGTTCACTGGTTTCAGGATTTTGGCAGGATGGAAATATGCCATAGACATTGTACCTTCTCTGGGACAGGAATGTTCTCTTCCAGCCCCCACACTCAGAAGAATGCCAGTGTAGGAACACTTGTGTTCACTTTAAAACACCTGTACCAAGAACTCTTCTGGTTTTGCTCCTGTGGGCCATTCCCAGGAGTTCAGCCACTTTAAAGAAGCACGTTCAGCTGATGGCTTGTACTACTACAGACAAGCACTGCTTCCCAAAGAGAAAAAGCAAGAATATGAAGCTTAAGCTGTATGAAAAGTTCTGATGATATTCTAGTCAAACCCAAATAAGGAAAAAAAATTGCTTATACAAAGCAATCTTTATTTTCAAATGCTGCACTGCATAAAATGATCTGACTGACAGCCCTATGCATGGATACAGACCCCCTTCATCCTCCCACTTCACTGTTCAGCACGGCACAATCAGGCTGATTATGCATAAAATCACTTAGATCAAAAGGGAAAAAAAAAAACCAAACAAACAACTGTCTGCAACCCATTACTCATTTCCTTATAATTTAACATTATTCACCTACAAAAATCACCAAGAAAACCCATTTGATTTCTGCATTCAAATGAAAGAGAGATCAGGCACACTATAGGGCTGGTCTCATGCGTGGAAGCTGCTGATGCTTTCAGTGCTCCTCACCTCCTGAACTCTGATAAAGAAGTACTCTTAAGGCTTATAATGAAACCTCTTCTGCTTATAACATTGTAACTGCCTCTCTCAGAAGGCAAAATAGTGCAGAAAAATAGTGGGAAGGGTTCCTTTGAGAATGCCATGGCCCACACGGCTTCTCATCAAGCAATGGTCCTCCTGCTGTGATCATCCCTGGCCAATGCCTTGCCAAGAGACAACACATAATTTTAACAGTCGTGTACACCTTCTTCCACATGAAAAGCATTTAGTATTTTTTGCTCCCAACAATGTTTCAGAGAAGTCCAAAATTTCATTCTGTAGCCTAGATCTTCCTGCAGGTACCATCCATGGGGAGGGCTCTACAGAGTTTATCAATGGTGGTATTTTCCAGAACTATGATTGCCTTTCGTACGTGGAAGAAAGGAGACGTGTGGTGACAGGATGTTACACTCGTACACTTCTGCTTTAACTCCAGTGCTCAATTACAGAGAAACCTGCAGGTGATGTTCACACCAATCTTTGATGGCCTTATGTTTTAGGATTTGTATTTTCTCATGTGTGCAGCAATAGAAGCAGAAATCTCAGTGCTCCTCTTATTCTGGCCATAATAGTCCACAAAGTCACCATCTGGCCCGACGAGGTACATTATTATTGTGTGATCCACCTGCAAGAGAGCACATCATGGCTTGGTAAAAAGGGTCATAGAATTGTAGCATCCTAGGTTGGAAGGGACCTCAAGGATCACCTAGTCCAACCTTGCAGAGAATCACAAATGCTTTGAGTTGGAAGGGACCTCAAAAGGTCTAGTCCAACCCCCCTGCAGTAAGCAAGGATCTCCCCAACTAGATCAGATTGCTCAGTCCCATCAAACCTGACCTTGAACTTCTCCAGTGATGGGGCCTCAACCACCTCTCTGGGCAGCCTGTTCCAGTGTTTCACCACCCTCAGAGTAAAGAACTTCCTTGGCATAAGCCCAGTTTAGAGAAGCTGGCCTGGCACCTTGTCCAGCCAAATCTTAGAAATGTCCAGTGCTGGGGACTCCACCACTTCCCTGGGGAGATTATTCCAATGGCTGATGGTTCTCATTGGGAAAAAGTTTCCTCATGTCCAACCAGCACCTCCCCAGAAGTAACTTCTACCCATTACCCTGTGTCTTCTCCATGTGACTCCTTGTAAAAAGGGAGTGTCTATATTCTGTGTAGCTACCCCTTAAATACTGGAACTTCCTGCACATCCCTCAAAGTCAGCAGCAACAGTGTCCTGTTTAGCCTTTGGTTCAGCTGTCTGACGACACTTCTCAGCAGAAGCTAAAGCAAGATAAGGAAAACCTCAGCATCACCTTGGTGACCTCTTCGTGTTTCACCCAAGAAAACAAACAGGGAACACAAGCTGCACGCTCAGAACGTGTGAAGGAATCCTTGAAGCAGACAAGTCTTCCCTAAGCTGCCGGCACCCTTCCTGCCACACAGAGAAGGCTGGCACAAACCTGAAGGCTACTGCTCTTTCCCCCTCGCTTTTCCCAGTTTCCCTCAACTTCTCATGATGCTCCATGACCCCAAGCTCCTGCTGCTAATATGATGTAAATCCAGTATAAGCCGAGGTATTTCATTAGATCAGGTCCACTGTCAGTGCTAACAATGGGACCAAGACCATCACCAGGATGCAGGAGCTGCAGAGGGGAGCTTGCTCAGAGGGAAATCCATGTGCTGGGAAGGGGCTCCCTCTACTGTCCTCATCAAAACAACCTTCAAAAATGTTCCAAGTAACAATTACTACAGCGTTTGAGATATTCCAATTTGATTTATATAAAAAATAACACCACTGTAAATGTATTTAAAATGCCACTGCACATACTGACTGCATCAGTGACAGTATCTTTATAAGCAAAGACATAAAATACTGAAAATGGGAGGCCAGGAATCTGTGATTGCTCAAGACTACATGATCTCACTGCCACTGGAGAAAAAGAACTGAAATTACACAAGCACTGAGAGTAGAACTGTTTGAAATCAAGAAATCGCATAAATTCTTGCAGTACCACAAGCTGAATTAAACTTAATGGTATTTCTGTCACCGAAAGAATGTTTCTCAAAATTTTATGGAAGCAGATTTAATTCAAGTATTTTACTCTAGTTGCAAATTTTCAAGATGAGATCACAAAAGCAAGTTGTAGGAATCTGAATCACAATTTAGATCTTCAACTGCAAATTAGAAAAAAAAAAAAAAAAAGAAAAAATCAGGTAGCCTGGTCAGAGCACCTTAACTCTATGGCATAGGGAAAATGAAACACAGCCAGGATGGAGAGTGGTCTGTGTGCGGAAGACAAGCTGTGCCTAGGCCTGTACTGTGCCCACTGTATGCACAGAAGATCATCATTTGGGTTCCAGTGCAATTTTGTAAACCACATAATAAAACAAGTAAACTGTACAGTCTGGTCTTGGGAATTATAAAATTGAGATTATTAAATAGGAACTAGTAGCAGTCAGGTAATACTTGAGAAATTGCAACAGATGTTTAGAAACTGTAATTTCTAAATGCTCACCTCAATGTTACTTTTTGAGTCAAAGCAAGCAGCAAAGTTTAATTTCCTGCAATGACCTCTTCCTCCTTCCCACCTCCCAGCAGCCTCCCGAGGAAACAGAAGCTGCTCTGCACAAAGGTTGGTCTTAATCACCAACTGGCACAGCAGGTCCATGAAATGGAAGTAACGAGGGGAAAAATCCCTACCAGAAGAAATGACAGAGCAGTCATTACCCGGGTAAGGCTCAGGTAGGCACAAAAGCAGCCTCAAGCTCTCCCTCCCAGGGCTGCTGTTCTGCTGTCCTCTTTCCATGTTGTTTCAGACCTGTGTCCTCTTCTCTCCCTGCCCTGCACACAGAGCTCACTGTGACAAAACCTCAGGAGATGCAGATATGCTCTTCTTCCCCCTTGGCAGCACGCCCAGGGCCCCCAGTTCACCGGCCTGTCTGCCTTGCTGCCCTTCCCTTCTCTCAGGCTCACAAGCCAGCACAGACCACTGGTATTCTCCCTTCTCCTGCTTAACTGCATCTGCAGCCACATTCTCCAGTTCAGTTTCACCCTCCAGCCTCCCTTGAAGCTGATGCCATCTACAGAGTTATTTTCATTGACTGAACCCCTGCACTCTCCTTCCACGGCCAAGCCAGAATCCAGGTGTGGCTTGCCAGAATCCACATTTGGTTTACTACATAAGGAGCAGCACTCCTTCAGCTTTTCTGGCCTCTTCTCACCACCTCTCCTCAACTTCAGTTCACTCATACAGTGTCAGATTCTACTGGTTTTTCCCTCTCCTGAGCAAGGATCCTTTCCCAATCCTGCTCCTATAACCTGTTCTTGCATTTCTACCATCCTCCTTTTACAAATCCAGTCTTAAGCAGTATCTTTAGAAGGATTTCAGATTGATTTAAATTGGTGTTGAATTTCTCAAGCAGGTTTCTCTCCTCCATTCAAACACAGTATCTGAGACAGAGTTCTCCAGCTACTGAGTTCCCACTGTAAGTGAAAAGAAGTTCTTGATCTCCCACTTCACAGCCCTTTCAGTGCCGCAGAGCTGAGCCCATCACCAGTGTGATTCCATCACCCCTTTACTGAGATCATGTGCTGCTCTTGCTGTTTCTTTCTGGGCACCACTTTTTTGTTCCACCCATCTTTCTGTGCACAGGGATAAACTGCAGTCAGGTGGTTTAAAAAAAAACAGATTTAAGAACAGACAATACTGGATTAGACCAAAACCAACCTGTCTCAGCAACCTGCCTCAAACAGGGGCCAGCAATGGTTTTAAGGATTTTAATGGCTCTAAAGAAGAGTATAAAACCAGCACCAAAAATATGCTACCCTCCTCTACTACCTTCCAGTTTCCAAACATTTTTAGCTTGCAGGATTCCTAAACCAGGCAGGATTTCTGTGCATTTCATAATCCTCAACAGATTGTTTTACCAAAGACCAACAACAGTGCTCCCTGTGGACTCCCATAATGCTCTACCATTTGCATCTGCAGCAAAGTATTCCCCTTCTCATGTGCACATTGCAACAAGAATCATCATCTTCCCTTCTGACAGACTATAAAGGAATGTAAGGAATGTGTCTTTACAATAAGGGACGATAAGGGGACAGTTTTCAGGATGGAGAGGTCACATCTCCAGTGCCCCAAGGTGATAAGTTCTTTACATATAAAAGAACCAAACAAGAAGATATGAAGAATCTGAGAACTTGAATGAAACAAACAAAATCAGCTACCTACCTCAAGAAATTTGGACAACCTAAACTTTTGAACTTTAGGAACTAGTATGCATGCTTAATAGACTTATACAGAGTAACTCCTCCTCCCAAGGGAGGCATAAAATGAAGATAATACAACACCTGATGAAAAGGGGGGGGTCCATGTTGAGGGAGATTGGGCAGTCTGTACTCTCCAAGTACCACAGCCAGTGGGGAATGGAGGAGGGAAATTTGGGGCTGGGAAATTAGGATAAAAAGGGGCTGCATCCCCCAGAAAAACTGAGACCCCACCAGGATCTGCCCCTGGACTTTCCCTCTGTTCAAATAAAGTGTATTTTTACAGGACTCCTCCGTCTCTTTTGTGAACATCGAACTCTGACAACAGCATGATCTGTACACTTCTGAACCTGTTTTTAGTTTTCTCTGATACCCTTAGTTCTTGAAAAGAAGAAAAAAGATGAAGATCGCGTAATGTGTTTCCTCACTTGTCCTATCACTTGAACCTACTTTACTCGTCCAGTCTGCTCAGGATGGGGTGAGCCAGGCTGCCCTGGCAGCAGCTCTGAGCCCTATAACCAGTCCTGTTCACTGCCAGTGAGTACAATTTTGACTTCCCAGTTTAGCTTCACTTAAACCTCAGTTTCCTCCTTCACACTATTACTCTGTATATTTTATTCCCACTTAATTCAGCATTAACACACTCTCTCTTCCAGGTCACTGGACACAAGACGAAGATTCACACAGTACCTGCAGGCAGACTTTGCATCATCTCAAGTCTCTTGCCAGGCAGACCCTGCTCCTTGGTGTTTGTTTGGCAGGGAATGATGTTACTGCTAACTTTTACCTCTCATTTCTCCCTCTTCCTATTGCCTTCATTTCCCAGTTCTATCTTCACTTTGGAGCACATAGGAAAGCAGCCAGACAAAAAACATTACATGACAGAAAAAAAGCTCAAATTCCTGCTAGGCTTGCTAGCTCATATGCTATTCTTTACACAGGCCTGGGACTGCAGTTTTAGAACACGTTTCAGTGAGGTGCTGAGATTGTAAGAGGGCACCTTGATTCTGACCAAGACCTTGAATACACAGCTTAACACATCAGTGCAACAAGGCTCCACCACATAGGACTTCATCATGGTCTGCAGCAGCTGCCTTCTGATTTGAAAATCTGTGTCCAAGGTCTTTCACAAGGCAAAGGTTCTACATTTACTTACTATGTAATCATCATCCTCATCTTTGGGACCTTCGCTGTAATATACACGGTAAGCTCTGGCCACTTTGTCGATCTGTGCCTTGGTACCAGTCAATCCGATCAGCTTCGGAGAAAACTCTAGATAGAAAATATACTTAAGACATTTTAGTGAAGAGAATCCCATGAAGAGCCTCTTTTTCAGTACTCTATTTTACATGCTGTAAAGCATTGAGGAAGAAAAGACTAATACCTTTAACATATCTGGCAATGGCTTCCTCGTTGTCCCTCTCAGGATCAATGGTGATGAAGAGTGGAGTCAGATTAGGCAACGATGGAATTCTATCTGTGACATTAACAATTATTATTTTTCTTAGAAAGCTAAATGCTACTGCTCACCTCTTTTCAAACAACCCCACAGCCAAGCTACCATAATATCAATCCAAGCCCACCCTAAGTGCCAAAAAAAGAGACCATTTTGCACAGCTTAGTTTCTGTAATTTGTGAATGAAGCAAATTCTGTGAAATCCAATGTTCTGTGCTTGTGCTGGGTGCAGGAACACTTTCAGCCTCTCATCTGGAGACCCTGCCCTGCCCAGGAGAGATGACAAATTGGCTGATTCAGAAAAAGCCACAGTGTGATGCACAACGACTGATACAACAACAGCATATCTGTGGTGGTGGAGCCAGAGGATGGGGAAAACACAATCCAGGTCCTTTCCCTCACATTCCAGCCACAGCCTTGACTTTTTTTTCTGGACTGTAGTCTGCTCTCCCACTTGCTTGGTTACTATTATCCCTGCTCCGTAACTCTGCAGGGCCTGCAGGCTGAGAATGCCCCTCTGCCACACAGCCTTCCTTCACTCCACAGCAGAGTCACCCTCAGGAGAGACTCTACGGAGACTTTTTCACAGAATGGATAAAACAGAGACAGAAAAACCACAATATATCCCAGAACCTCTTCTTGGCAAAAATACAATGTGATGGCACCATTCCTCATAACCTGCTGCCATCACATTGTATTCCCTGTTGCGGGAAGACCAGTGCTGTCATGCCTCAAATAGCAGATCCTAGTGATAGGCACATTGATGTATGCATCACTTAGCAATTAATTCAACTACTGAGTAGTAGTCGACGCCATTTTTAAAAGAACATCATCAGCTATTACCATTTGTGATATTCTCCCACAGTAAAGATGGACTTCTCACATAGAAAGGACCACTACACCAACAGAATTCCCCATACCAATTTCATCTACCACTTCGATCATTTTCTCCAGTTCATCAGGACAGACGTCAGGGCAATGTGTGAAGCCAAAGTAGATCAGCACCCACTGGCCAACGTAGTCCTTGCTGGTCTTGGGCTGTCCCTCATGGCTGACGAGGGAGAAGGGCCCTCCGAGCAGTGGTTTCCCAATGCTGCGGTTTCGCTCCTTCTCCAGCTCTACAAAAAAAAACAAAGAGGGAATCACGCACACCGATGCCACAATCCACACTGCCTCCCAGGTGGGTCTCAGCAGCAGCTCAGAGCCAGACAGCACCGCAGAGTCATGGCCCAGGGCACTGAAACATCAAGACCTACCAACATCCACTGTGCAGAACCCCAGTGGGGCTCCAAAAAGCATTTGATTTTGGGCAAGATCAAATATATAGATAAACTCCTTTGAAACATAATTTTTGTTATCCAACTGTATTTTTATTTTCAAAAAAAAGAAAGAGAAAAACAAGAGAAAAACAGGTACCTGGCTTGGTGTGAAGCAGAAAAATTAGTGTCCTTTGTAAAGTGAACATATCCTAAAAGCTGTAATATCTCTGATTTTCAACATTAAAAACCTGAAAATGAAACCCATGGACAGTTCGTGCAGGACAGGGAAACATGTACATGGGCAACCAACATTTATGGAAGCCCCTCACCGTCTTCGTGCTGCATTGGGTGGCAGCAGTGCAGTGGAATAATCACTGGAGGTGATTTAAAAGTTAAATGTATATTAAAGGTACAGCTTTATTCAAACATTAATGAAAGGTGTAATATTGAAGAAGCTTCCCAGGTAGAATGCAGCCCGAGCTGGTGTGCAAGGAATTTATTCCACGAGTGTTCCCTAGACAACTTTGCCTGCAAAAGAGCACGGAGGGTGGAGCAGAGTGAAGATGCTGGGGCCAGGCTCAGTGATACGAGAGCAGAGATGGGAACTTATGGTACTACAGGACGGATAAACTGCATACTTGCTATCCCTGGGCCAACACTCCTTCACTTTTCAACAAAATGCTGTCCCTTGTGCAAAATTTGCTCATTATAATCTAATTATAACCTAATTGTAATACCAAACCACCCCTCACCAAGCCTGCACCCTGAATTCTTCTTAACTTTTACCTTTAAAAGCAAAGCAAGAAAATTTTACACCAATAATAAGAAAAGTCTGTATGACTAGGGACACCCAAGCTCCACCTTGACAAATATTGAAACAATAGTATGAAAATGGCCTAAGAAAGAGGGTATGTTAGGGAAGATATCAACATCAAGAAGTCAGGGAAGACCCCATCGTCAAAAAGTCAGGGTATCACCATGGACAAGGCTGGGGAGATACCAGACCACCTCTGACTTCTGGGACTGGTCGATGGGCTGAGCCTCTCTTCACCCCCACAGGGACACCTTTGGGCAAGATCTGCACTGTACAGAGTGCTTCTTCAAGGAAACTTCGGAATCTCTATAGAGTTATTCTTTTACGTAACACATTTGCAGTCAGGCTGTATTATTCATAATCTTGATAGTCACATCTGCTTTGCAGTGTATTTACCATTTGCAATCCATAAGAACCTGTACTTCTGTTGCTTCAGTAAACTGCACTGTTTCATGTAGCCAGCCCCTAAAGTTTCTTGCTGGGCACCACCAGGGGTCCAGGGGCATGTGTCCATGAGGCACAACTAGATGGAGGGTGCAGTGCACTGTTAGTGTGTCCATAATCGTGTAGATCAAGAAATTGAACATGACTGGACATACAGCACTAAACTGGACATCACTGGGAATCAAAGCCTAGCTGCCCCCAGACCTTCTGGTACTTCAGGACAGTGTCCAACACAATGGGGTTTAGTTCCTGCCAAATTGCCCAAACTTTTAATGCAACAAGTGTGCACAGTCAAAACACAACTACCCTAACAGGAAAAGCATATTTAAGCAATTTTAAAACGCTTAACCTTGAAGGTTTGGTTTTTTTTTTTTTCACTTTTTGACAATTTTCTGTGCTGCTTATATACACAGAGGCACGAAGCAGCACTGTGTGATGCAGCATCCATGATGCAGCGGGACACTGAAGTGGGTGAAATGTATCTGAACGCAAAAAAAACTACATCGTCCCTATAGGAGAAACACATCCTTGTATAGCAGAATACACCGCCGGGCCGGGCCGGGTCAGGCCCTGGTCCCCCACACTCACCCTCCTCCTTCTGCCGCTTCACCTTCTTCATGGCGGCCAGCAGTCCCCCGCAGAGCA